GACACACACACAGATCATCCTGGTGTCTGTAAATGGAAGAAGCTTTATTCAGTGGAAAGCAAGTTCGCCCAAAGTAAACTCCATTTATATATTTCGAGGGTATGAGCAGTGCAATGTTAGGGAGAAAGAGCCAAAACAATAGAAGTAGATGAAGGCCAAAGCTACATGCATCTGCGAGCGCGCGCAAGTGAGGAGTGAGTTATGTAGGGTATAGGGTAGGTAGGTGTAGAAGCATATGTAATTACAGTTAGCAGATGATGAGCATTAAGGGAAAGGAAAGCTTGCTTGCATGTTGATGGAGCACTTTTGATTGCTTTAATACGAAAGAGTGAAAAAGAGAAGAAAAAAACTGAAGTAACCCCATACTAGCTAGAATATAGGTGCACGTAAGAGAAGCCCTACAAACGTACATGCCCTTGGCCGCTGCATCTTGTTCATGATCAGTATCACCACATACCATTACTTGTGCTACAATACCACCCCTCTGTGAAAACCGTTGAGGGCTATTTTCTTTTTCCATCTCAGTACTGTGTTGGGTCGCTTTCCGACCTTAGGGGCCTTAGCTTGTGTGAGAGTTTTTATATGTATAGGGGCAATAGCTGCCACTCAGCTACGCCCATAAATCCTCTTTCATTTATTCATGTATATATATTGGCACTCTGGGAGTACTGTTATATGTATCATCAGTACCATTATGATGTGCCCCACTCTTTCTCTCTTATCTTCCCCTTCTCTTACCTTGCCACGGTATATACCTTTCCTCATTCCTTGCTTCTATCATCCCCTTTTTTGTACGGTCCCATTCCCCCTTCTCCCCAAAAGCCAACTGGTTTTTAGAAGTCATCACCATATTAGTTCCTCACTCAACTCAGCCACTCATTCCAATCATATTGTGTTGAGGTTCGATTCATGAAGGTTTGGGTTTAGATTTGATTTAAATCAAATCCCTTATTTAAATACATAGAAGTCTTGAAATTTATATTTAATCAAATTCATCTTTTATTATAATTTTTTTTTTTGGTAATTTCAAGTTCCTTTTCTAGATCTTTATAATTTAAAATCTTAGCTACCTTTCCTTTCATTAATGTTATGTGTTCACTGTTGATCCCTTTAATTTGTTATTCTCACCTCTCCTATCATCTCTCATCTCTCACTAGCTAATAAATAAAAGTAAACTTGTCACTCTCAATCTTTCATTTATGCTTCGAATATAGTTGGTCTCTCATGCTCTACCTTTATGAAGTATTTTTAACTAAATTACACTCTCTAATAAAGTAGTCAGCTATTTTTAAACTAATATTATATTTTATATTTATTTCTAAAGTGATTTATTTATTAGGAATAATTTTAAAAAAGTACATTAATTATATCTTGAAATATTAAAAATATCATACATTTTTTAACATTTAATCCTAAAAAAATGCGTTACATTTTCTCACAGAAGGAGTATATGATTTTACTCTGCCTGGCAATGTAACTAGGCTGTTCATTAAGGACCTAAAGAACCAATTGAGTCGATAATATTTAAATATAAATCAGATTAATTAGTCAATAATATCAGCTATTATAACAAAGAATACAATGGTGGTTCAAGAATTTTATATACTAATAATAATAATAATAATAATAATAATAATAATAATAATATATACAATTAACCTATAAATAAACATGATAGAAATCCAATTTCCGTTTTTCATTGAATTGTTAATGTAGACACATGGAACATAACGCTCACGTTAATGAAACCTGCTCTCAAAGGATTAAAAACTAATTAACCTACAATCATGCCACTTCATTAATACCTAATTTGTTAACTTAATTAGCATGACATGACACCCAAATACACACCCATCCATCCATATGGGCAAGCGCTGTAAATTAAAATTAAACGTAAGCTATATTGGATATTCATCTAAGTTGAAAAAAGGGTTTGCACTCGATCGAGTTTAAAATTTCTGAAATCAACCATTATATTATAATATACATGCAATTTATCAAATCACGCACGTTTTTAGCGTATAGATATTTGCTAAGGATTGAGGGGGGAAAAGTCACTCTCAACCCACGAATGTTGAATCTAGTAAGTGTTTAACGTTTTTTTTTTTTAATATAATACAAGATTGCACGTTTTTTTTTTAAAAAGAAAAGGCCTTCGGAAAATGCGCTCAACTGCTTAGTATATATTCACTCAAAAGGCGAAATTTTAAAGAGAAATTAAAAGGAATTGAGAAGAAAAGTAAAAGTGATGATGAGGAGGAGGACATGTGGCGAGTTGTGATTGGAGGTTGGGATCGGAGTAGAAATTTGTTTGGTTGCAGCGGGAGTGTGCGCGAGATAATGAAGCAAAGAAGGAGATGTGCTGTGCGAGGAGGGGAAGGACGGGCAAGTTAGGTGAGTGAAAGCGAAGTGGATATGTATGAATCGCCGACCACCTGATTGATCTCACAATCAATCAGTCACACACATGTCATGCCCGAATTCAAGATTCTCTCACACACATGCTCTTTCAACGTTTGTATGCTGATATGACCCCTTCCCTATGTGCGTGAATCACATAACGGTCAGAGGCAGAGCTAGATGCTGACTCGAACTTTGCTTCTCTTTTCCCTACGTTCACACTCTCATATATCATTTTCCCTTTCACTTCTCATTTCTATGTTCTTTTCTGCTCCTATGCTTTTCACCCCATATACTGCTTTCCCTCCCCATCCATGTCCCATGTCACTTTACCTTCTGCTTTCAACACATCTGGAAAAATTTAACATCTCATAAGGATTTTTGATAAATAAATATTAATAAATTAACAAGTGAAGTTATTATTTTAATAAGTATCCAGTATAATTTGTCTAAGGTCATTGTCGCATATTAAATTATTTCAAAGGTCCTTCATTAATGTTCTTCCCCAAAAAAATATAAACATGTGTTAAAGTGTTATGTTATTTGAAAAAAAAAATTATTTTTTAAGGTAAAAATTGAAATTGACTTAAAAAAATAACAATTAAGATATTCGAGTCAACTTGTAAACCCAAGGTGTTAGGGCAAAGCTTAATTATAAAGATTTTTTTTATTTGTTTAGGTACTTATAGTCCGAATAAATTCATTTCAAATTGAATTCGATATGAATAGGTTCAACTCGCTTGAATTACTGCTTTATTGGAGGGTGTGTGTATTTTTTGTGTTTTCCCCCCTTAAACTATTGACATAGGTCTGAATTTGAAACTCATTTTAAAAATTCAGTTATCACTTTAATCAAGATTATCAATTTGGTTATCTCATTAGGCTTAGAATTTAGGAATTAAGGATTGGGCTCTTGCTTTATAAGATAGCTCACAAAGTATATATAGGGTCACACGGAAAATGCGGGTTACATATATAAGAAATCCATTACGTCGGGTCTAATTTTGATAATTAGTTCAAGGAATAGTCTAATTTTATCTTGTTAATTTGATCAGAGTAATATATCGTCCAGGGAAGGTATAAAGAGCTCTGACAAAACTATAATTATGGAGATGGAACAGAACTAAAAATTCATGACCAATGAAATACTTGTCTTTCACGTTTGAATAATCTTACAAGACTTCATGATCCTATCATTATGGGAAAAGGAAAATAAATACATAATTTATTGTTCATAACGGTGGCTCCTCAGGTGGGTCCCATTGTTAAAAATGACTGGGAACCATTATTAGTGGCCTACCTTTTGGTCCAGATGGCCCTTTTCATTCATCAATCCGAATTGACTATAGGCCCATAATTGTGGGCCAAGGCCTTGCTTCATTCTCCATTCACCCTGTGGATGAATAGGTTTTAACTCATCACTATTTTTTGGGTCCTAATTCATGGTTTTTGATGAAAATGAGAATTTGATTTAGGTAGTTTAAATTTTATTTTCTTAAACTTTAATTTTTTCCATGGTTTTCATTATACAGAGCATATAATAAAAGAGTCAAAATGTAAATTAAATGACCCATCATCACATGTCGCCGGAGGATTGTTAGAAAATAGAAACGTGATTTTCAATAATATATCTCTTTCACATAATTTAATATATATATATATATATATAGCATTAAAGAGAAGTATATAAAAGTTTATAAAATATAGAGAAATATAAAAAAAACGCAAGAGAAAAAAAGATAAATATAATAATAAGATGTTAACCTTACACACAATTGTATTCTTTTATATCTATACTTTGAATGTATAATATGAACATATGAATACAGATTATTCAGGTTAAAATATGAACACATCGGATGGACTATACATATTCCCCTACCTGTCCTTGGATCATAATGCAGGACACTTCCAAAATATATTAGACATATTAAGAAAATTCAAATTTTTCTATGCATAATTACTTGTCCACATTTAACACAATTTCCTATAAATAATTGCTTAATGCAGGTTAATCAACCCAGGTAAAAATTCTGGGCAAAATACAGGTAAAAATGGGGGGAAAAATATTCCTTAAAAACTACAAAAATATCCACACGAGGAAGTATATAACACCATACTAGACCTCATATACAGGATCATATCAACAAAATAATTAACAAGAAGTTAAAGGGAATTAGAATGTTAAAAGTCTCGCAAAATATCTTGTGCATTTGTCACACACACACACACACACACACACACGAAACATAGCAATGAGTTTAAAATAAATCCTCCCACCAAACCATAGTCCGCATGAGATGACAGGCTTCTCTCCACCAAAAACCCGATTAAATATGGGCGTTTCAAATTAAACATTTTAAAAAATACTATTGAATTAAAATATACTGAAAAAAGAGTAAATTAATCTAAACCGGTTAAAATTTGACATGAATCATTCAGAACTACGGTGAAAAAGTAGAGAAGCTGCAAGAGACATATACTTGACTTCTGACCCATGAGTCCCCATATTAACACCAAAGTAACCGCAGAAAAAGAAAATTATAAGCTGATAGCATCAGATTAACCAAATCACTGGCAGGGGGGAAAAACTTAAAAGGTTGAACACGTGAACCCAACACATCAGATATATGAAGTGTCTTGCAGATATCAAGTTTCCAAGGGCAAAAGCGGACCAAAAAATTTGGAGAACATTTCACAGAAGGAATTCTACATGAAGCATTTCGTACTAAGAAAAGTTCAAGGTACTCTCAGAATGAACTAAACAACTTTAATGATCCAATAGATAATAACATACAAAATAGAGTTCCATTAAAACAATCAAAAACCCGTTTATTAAAGTGCAGCATGTTATGATTGATTTATGGCAGGCACCATCCTTGACTATCTCCTCAAGGTGTGCAGAATATACTCCGCGTAAAGATCCCTGCAACATGTCCGATAAAGCTTAAAATTATTTCTAGCAATGCTGATTCACCTTTGTTGTTATAACTTATAAATCATATTTGTTCAAAGTATTAAGATAATATACAGTGTACAGTTAGTTATATCATAAACACATAAAAATACAACTTTTTACCAGCAGTGGTTCAATTGCAAACTTTTAAATTATAGGGATCACATGTATAATTCTTTTCTAGGAAGAAAAGGTCCTGTAGTTTTAGCATATAACAAAAATAATAAGTCTTATCCCACTAAATGATGTCGGCTACATGGATTGTACAAAACTATTATACTCTTATAGTTTAGCATAACTCAAGGAAAATATGTGTAACTGACTCTTGAGCTGGTTACAAACCCTCCCTAACAACTTCTAACAAAGATTAATTGGATAGAATTTACCCAAAAAAAAAAAAAGATTAGTTGGATAGAATTAAAAATAGAAAAAGAAGAAGAAACTTAATGGTTGTTTAAACTATACTGACATTGAATACTGGATCGCTTCAACAGCAGTGGTTGAGGGCAAGAACTCATTAACAGCTACCTCCTTGTTCTCATTCTTCTTGTCTGAGAACCATGTTAAGAAACAAAAGTACAAAACACAATTTGTTAAAGCGACATAAATATGTTAAGTTCTTATATTAAGATTCTAAAGGATACAGTCTTCAAAGAAGCGTCGAATCTCAGAGAGACGATGAGGTGGAAGTTCTTTGATGTCATTGTAGTGCTTGTACTCTGGATCATCGGCACATACTGCAATTATCTTATCATCCTTCTCTCCCTGTATCAATAGGGGCGTCATAATTTTGTTAACATAAAATTGTTTGAATAAGGAAAAAAAAAACTAATTTTTCCCCTGAGCAATACATGGAATTAATAATAACATAACAGAAACATTGTGTCTGAATCATATATTGATTTGAACAAAATTTCAGGTGGAAAATTCCAAATTTAAATTCAAATGGTAAAAAAAAAAAAGCAGATAAAAAAAATTATAGCCAAAAGGGTACCTGGTCAATCATGGGCATCAACCCAATGGCCTTGGCTCGCAGGAAACAACCGGGAAGAACTGGCTCCTAACCACATCAGATATTCAATTAGCTGATCATAACTCGTGAATTGAAAGAATCAAACATGATAAATCATGGCCAATGCAGAATTTGAGATGGTTTGGGATCTTCACGTCTGGAACCCATGTAAGGATAACTCTAGACTGCGAGATTTGCCTGAGAGATTACTGAGGAACAAAATCAAAATTGATGCATCCATCGAGCCAAAAAAAAAAAATTCAAACATATAAACTTCATTAGCAGCTATTGAATACTGATAATGAAGAAACAATTGTGTGAATAGAACAGTGGTCTGGAACCTTGCGTGATTATACTCATATTCAAATGACTTGTGCACAATGTTTTCAGGCACTGAATCATAGAATTAATTGTTAATTTTGCAACATGATACATCATAGATATAGCTAATGAAGCATTTACGTGATTTGGTGTCTTCATCTTTTGAAAGAAGATAAAGATAAATCAGACTATGAGAATTACATGGGCAATTAACGGGATTCAGAAGTGACAAGTCCCTCAAAAAAAGTGGGTAATAAAAATCTTCAGTAGCAGCTTTAAATAAAGAAAAAAAGAATTTTGTGAATAGACAGTGAATTATAGAAGTGAGCGTAACAATATAATTAAATTGAATCGACTGGTGTGGTATGCTTTGGAGCTAATCAATAGAATCCAAAAAACAGGATGAAATGCTTCAAGAACATAGTCTGAAACAATAAGAAATTTACCTGCATTATAATCAGGACATCAAGTGGATCGTTGTCTTCACACAGTGTACGAGGAATAAAGCCATAGTTATGAGGATAAACGACAGATGAATACAAGACCCGGTCAACCTGAGCATTATTCAGATCATATGAAGAATCTAAAAGACGGATAAATGAGAAAAGGCAGACGAAGCAATTATAGGAATGAAAAGTCTACAAGACTGGAAGACAAAAATATTATTGAATAAGCTGGGAATTGGCTCATACCTTAATCAATCCAGTCTTCTTGTCAAGTTCATATTTCACCTTGCTTCCCTTGGTGATCTCCACAACCTGCAAGTTGCAACTAACCATTAAAAAAGCAGAAACATTATGTTTCCTAATCTGGATCCCCTACATTTTCAAAAGTAAATGCGTGCCCCACATTTTGAGAGAGCTAGAAAGAAAAAAATAATAATGGGCATAAAAATAGGATATGGTCCCACTCCCAATCTATTCTGTGACACTCCCTCTCCAGATTTATAAATGCATGAATGAAGGGAATGAATTGCTATGTCACAAGGAAAGTTCAGGTCAAAATGAGATTAATGTTATAAACAAATACCTTTAATAGGAGAATAATGGATATTTGAGATTCAAAGTGACTATTAGGAAACACTGAAGAGGTAAGGAAAAATATAGGATTTCATTTATGGAGGCAGGGAAAGCTCTGAGATAGGGTTAATAAAGTAAGACAGGATTTTTATGAATCCAATTACTTCAAATTTTGAGAATCTGTTCAGTATTTAAATGCATAAGCGCAGATCCAAGTCAAAAATGAATTCAGCAAAGAACAATCTTGCAACATGAAAATTCAGATCCAAGTTCTTCTAAATCAGGCAAGAGACTGTATGATGTTCTGCTTCGTTTTAGCAACTAGTATGATTTCATCTTTTATAAGTAATCTGTAATTTGCCAAAATCAATGGGAAAAGACCATCAAGTCAGAACTTCCTAGAATTCAATGTGTATCAATCCATCACAGCTGGTTGGTGTTATGTTCAGAACCGCATTGGATCATAAGATGCCACAAAATTCCACAAGCATTGAATTTAAAAAAGATAATTCACATCTACTTTATCCCTCTTCTACCAATAAGTAAGCAAATTCTTTCCTCCAGTAGATGGAAGGAGACAATCAGACAACCATCTCCAGAAGCAGAAAATGAAAACTTACACAATTGAAAATAATGGGGGCTCCAGGTCCTGCATACCAATGATACCATACAGCAATTCAGAATTTAAGATAATCAGCAACAAGATCAAGTCTTCTATGTCACTTAGTGCAAATAAGCAATATGATCAATGACAGTACCAATTTCAAGATCGTGCCAGGGGTGGGCGGCAACCGATCTCCTTGACAAAGATGAAAGAATCCTTTCGTTCAAACGAGGAACTGGTCGGTTTTCTGGAGCTGAAGCTTCTTTATTCTCCTCTGAGTGACTCATCCTAATACAGAAAGAGCACAAAATACTGTTTATAACGAATCAAGAAAAGCAAAAAATTGTCTGGCCTAAATGGGTTTTGTCAGTTGGCAAGAGACGATGATTTATCTTCTCAAGTCTAACACCTAAATCACTGAAAAAATCAAGGCATCAAAAAACAATATTATGCTGTTCATCTGAGCTAAATCAGCTCTTATATGATTAAAATGAAAGATACAAAATAGCATGTTCTTTATAGCTTCGCAGTCTTATGTGCAGAGCAATAGCTCTAAGCTCAAAATGAGTGAAAGAGAATTATTAGCGATGGCAGAAGAAAACCCAGAAAATATAATTTTAGTAAAAGATGATTCCTCGATGCATCGAACAAATAACTTATCAATCAAACAAAGAGGCTCTTAAGAAGATTATAAGTTCTGAACCAACGAAAAAACGCACCTTCACCAAGACCCTGAGTAATCTCAAGAAATGGTCAATGGCTGTATAGGGGAACGGAAGCGAGGTCGATGCTACTTATATGTGTAACATTAGGTCACAACTGACGAGGACGAATGCGAGGCTGACTCACCTTGTCTTGCGAAGATTCGGAGATCCGTTCATTTGGTGTGTAAACTAATTCCAAAAGAGTTTAAAATGTCACTATTCGACTGGTTATTATACTGTATGATTTTAAAAAAAAAAAAAATCTCTCTCGATTGCATCGAAAGCTAATCTTGGAAGTGACACCATTGGGGAGAGGGGTCTCTCTTTTTTTTTCTTTATTTCTCTTTATTTTTTCAATTTTATTATTTAAATTATTTTATTAAATAATTTTTTTAAATAATGAAATTAATAAATGAAGGGAATGAAAAAAATGAAGAGAAATGGAAAAAAAAAGAAGAGATCCCACATCCATATTGTTGCTCCAAACAGGAGTTGTTAACATTTTACTTTCTCTGGTGCTGTTTATAATATATACTGATTTTATTTATAAATTATTTTTAATATATTTTATTAAAATTAAAAAAATTAAATTTTATTAACTATTTTTAAAATTTAATAAGCTTTTACCTCTATCTCTAATAAATATTTTTAAATTTTATTACTAATATTTTTATTCAAGATATTTAATTAGGGTAAAAATATAAAGAAGAGTATTAAAAATTGATAGCTACCTTGTAAATAGGATCAAAAATTTTTTTTCTCTTCCCTATAAATAGGACCAAAGAAGTAAGATAGAGAAAAAAATTTATCCTATGAGTCAATTTATTAAATTTTTGTTATAATTTTTTCTTTTATTCTCTATTAAATATTGTAGAGAAAAAATATGATGTTAAAATATGTATATTTAATAAAAATAAAGTTAGAAATTATTAAATATTTTGATAGAGTTAATAAATTTTAAAATATTTTTTAGTTTTAATAAAATATATTAAAAATAATTTATAAATATTTGAATAAGTTTGTTGTAAAACAAAATATTGCTTTTTGACCTTTTTAGCACAAATTCATTGAAAGAAGCTACAAAATGGCGCACTCGGTGCGCAAAAACATGAACTAGACTGCAGATATCGCTTGGGAGAGGGGGAGAGATTGGACAGCAAATGTTAACTATTCAATTTATGATTTCAAAAGTCCAACCAATCATTTATGTATGTTGGATTATAAAATATTACTTTATTCAACAATCCACAAACAGTCAGGTTATTTGCTGGAAATTACGGGATGTCGTTTTTGGTATATTGCATGAAATTTAAAACTGATTATTATTTGTAACTTATAAATACTATGTTGTATTATAAATTTTATATTATTAAATATTTAAAGGATGTAAAAAAGACATAATTTTTTTAAAAAAAATACACTAGTTGTGTATTATAATCGTTTGAATTATAGGTAAAAAGGGGGGAACATACACAAGCTTAATTAGGGGGCAAATGAGACTTTTGGGATCAAAATAAAAAATTATAAAATTTAAAACGGGACTAACTTGATAGCATTGATATCTGTGCTCAAGAATAGTCTCTTAGTTGGTTTTAGTTTGAAATTTCACTAAGCATATGAAGATGTGAGACCAATTTGACCATAACTGCTTGCAGTAGAATAAAGAACTAGAGTTAATAATTACAATTTTTGTAGAAAAAATTATGTCTAATCAATAATTAATTACTTCATCACTCCAGTCCTGCTTTCAAAATGGAGAGATCTGAGTTAGATTGAGATAGGTTAGGTGATCAAGTGATTGACTTGGTCTCTCTCTATCCCTCTCACTCTCACGGACACAGAGGCACATGATAAAATTACAACTTTACAAGTTGGCGTGCATGTGCTCACAAGGTCTCACGTTCTTCTGCCTCTATAATATGAAGTTTATAAATCTTACATGTAAAGTTATGGTATGGAGCTCACGAAGCAATCCAGAGAAACAAGTTAAAGCACGAATTCGTTTCTTTTAAAGTTGTTCGCACATTTTGCCGGAAAGTCATCATTTGTTCCTTCAGTTTAGATATTGCCAGCTTTTCTTGTCCCTTATTCGCGCGCATAACAATAATACTCCCGCAAGGAAATCAATTATTATTACACACAATAATTAAATTATACCTCCAATGTTAGATTTTAGTGGATATGCTGAAACATAATTTGGTATATGAGAAGCATAAAACATCGGAAGAATTGATACTTTAATTTAATCACTTCCATTCCAACCATTGTCCTTTTTCTTTTTCTTCCTCTTCACGTCTCGGTTTTTGAGGTTAAATTCATATATAAAAACAAAATAATATAACTTTTGGTTTTCAAGCTTTCTCTTAATTTTCGATCTTGTAAAAAAAAATAATAAAATTTTCCAAATTTATATTCAGGGACTAAATTAATAATTAAAAAAAATCAAGAATCAGAAGTTACACTTTTCCTATAAAAGCATTTTCCAAATCTGACTAGTGATGAGTATTGCAATTTACTATGTGCAAATACATAAATACTATTATATATAGAAGACATATATATTAATTGTAGTATAATTAGGTGGATGTTTAGTGGATTGCATATCATTGAGGAATAATTAGTATGACTTGTTAGGAATTTGATATTTGATATTGACACTAACACTGAAATTGATGTTGATAGGAGATTTGAAATCTTAATCAATTTGAATAAAAAGAAATGAACCAACAATATTAGATATTTGAGAGCTTATTGACCCAGATTTTTTTAAAAAAATAAATGCAACAAAGAAGAATGCTATTTGATAAATCTATCATCAATGATGATCTGGACTTGCATTTGCATCTTTAAAAAAACTTGTTTGGTAAGGCCTGTTTATTTTAGCTTAGTTCATAAAAAAGTCCCTTGTTTTTTGAAAAAATTTATTTTGTGATTTTTTTTATGTTTGTTTAAATTTTTGAAAATAATCAGAATAAAAAAAAGATTTCTGATTATTTTTAAAAATTACTTTAAGTAACTTTTCAAAATAATCTAATACAGTAAATGAGAGGGAGTATTTTAAATATGCTAGATACATGAAGATATAATAAGATTTTAAAATAATATAATAAATCATTTTTATAAAACAAAAATTAAGAAAGATATTATAAAATTTAAAATTAATTAACTAATAATTAATTTTTTATTATTGTAGCTAAATATAAAATAATATTTACATTTTACATAATCTATATAAAATAAATATCTTTTTATAAAATTTTTAAATTATCTAAAACTTACTTCTTTTTAAATCTTAAATATGAGAATTTGATCAATCCAATGTTTACATGAGAAGATAAATCAAAATGTTTGCTAGTTCGATATTGTAGTGGCCCAGTTAGCCTACTGGGCCTATTTTTTTGCATGAGCCCAAATGCAAAAACGTACCGGGCCTGTTTCAAGATATCAGATGATACTAGTTACGTGGGCCTCCTGCTTAATTTACACGCCAAGATATTAAATACTGATGTAGAATGGGACTAGATAATGAAAATAAATAAATCTTAAGTGAAAATGTCTTTGTTATATTTTCTAATTGGAAAATATGGGAAAAAAATTACGTATAATTGTATTATTTTTAATTTAAATTTATTTATTTTCACTTCAAGTCGAAGCCAGTGAAATAAATTGTAAATGGACGAATATAATTTTTGAAAAAGCCTTTAGGTTATGGGAAAAAATATTTTAAACTTTTATAAGGTTATAATAAAGTTTCCAAAGATTAGATTATGTTGATAACCTTCATTACTTACTTTCTCTGTTAAAAAATATAAGAGATTTTTTAAAGAGTTGAATATCAAAAAATATAAAACAATTTTAATCTTTTAAAGCGTAATTATTTTTTTTAAAGTATCCCTTTTAATGAATAATTTTATATTTATTATAGGGTATTTAATAAGAATAAATATAAAAAGATAAATTTAGTTTAAAAATAGATAATTACTTTATTAAAAGTGAAATTTGATTAAGAGTATTTTATATTTTTTAATGGAGGGAGTATATATTAAAGATGTTTATATCTAAAAAAAAGTTTTCAACAAAAAAAAAAGTTATTCATCTGAAAAAATATAATTTGAATGATATCATGATTTTTTTTAGTAAATTAATTCAAAATGAGACATAGTTTTACAAATTAAAAATTTATAATATTATTTTTAAAATTCTTTTTTGTTATTTTTGCTTAAATTTAAAAGGATAGGAATAAGCTAGTTTTTTTTTTAATATAATATAGAATTTTAAGTTTAAATAAAATATCTATTATAATTTATTTAAATTTTGAGTTATTAAAATGCATTTCCTGATTTATAATTTGTTTATTGTGCAAATTTAAAAGTTAAAATTTAGTTTTTGTCGTTAATTAAAAATAATTTTAATCATTAATTAATTAAAAAGTAATAGAAAATGACTTTGATAAAAAAAAAGTTTTGATTCTTTTTTTCGTATCATTATCTATAATTTTATATTTTTTATTTAATTTTTTAGTTTTCTGTAATTTTTTAATTTTTTATTATAATTTATTTAATTATTTTTTATTATTATTTAATTAATTAATGATTAAAGTTAATTTTTATTAACAATATATGTTAGATTGCATTATTTTTAAAAATTAAATAAAGAATTTATATAATAGATGAGCTTAATGTTTATGATTTTATGGTGTTATTAAACATATAATTTAAAGGGTGATTTACCTTAAAAATAAATAAATAAATAGAATAAACCAACGGTTATTATATTTTATAAAATGATTATATGATCAATAAATACTAAGTTTATAGTTCAAATAAGATCAAATTAATTTAAATAACAAACCCTCCCCCTTATTTTGGCCCCAAAAAAAAACAAAATCTCCCTGACGGATAATCAATTTTTTTTTTTTTTTTACACTAACACATAGTAATCATTTTTGTTAGCCTCCAACGAAAAAACGGCTTTCATCATTTTGTTCTGTTTAGAATTCAGCAATGATCTGGTGAGTATATCGCAGATTTGCAGATAAAGCACGTCAGCAATTCCCCATTCTGTCAAAAGTGCGTCTCGGGTTCTTAATATCGGCGGAGTTTCTGCAGAAAAAACATATCCAAACGACAATGAAAAGCCTTCTTCATTCATTGATTTCTTTGTCAGCTTCATCATCATTTATTTTCAATTTCAGCGACAATCTACAAATTCACCAGCATCATCATCATCATCCAATCCATAAATTTTAGTTATTTTTAGCCAGACAATACCTCTGGGAATTACAACGAAGACAGTCACAGCCCCAGTTCGTGGCTCGGGTCATCCGGTTCGGATTCTTCATGGATTTCGGGGCCCCCAATCAGCCGCGCCTGGTCGGAGAGTACATGCTGGGACCGCAAATCGGGTCGGGTTCCTTCGCGGTGGTGTGGCGCTCAAGGCATCGTCACTCGGGTTTGGAGGTTGCAGTTAAGGAGATTGAGAAGAAACAGCTTAGCCCAAAAGTCAGTGAGAATCTGCTTAAAGAGATTTCTATTCTCAGCACCATCAATCACCCCAACATTATACGATTATTCGAAGCGATCCAGGTAAAGTCTTGATAATTTATCCGTTTTCTTTGTTCCATTTTTGAAAGCTTCTTCAATCTCATTGTTATTTGAGCTGTTTTGATTCTGAGTGTAATGTTGGATGTTTGGGGTTTAAGACCAATGATAGGATTTACCTTATTTTGGAGTATTGTAATGGTGGTGACCTTGCTACTTACATTCATCGACGCGGAAAAGTTTCACAACCCATTGCACGGCATTTTATGAGACACTTAGGTGAGTAGACTTCAGGCGGATGTTTTACTTTTTAGCATTTTCTAGCATATACAATGATCTTTATTTGACCTGGTAATTGAAAGATGGTCCTTTCAGTGATTTTCTTTAGCATATGCCATAATAATAAGGTTCATTTATCCAATTTATTTGGATTTTGCAAATGGTTTGACGATTCTGCATATACTAACTTGATCCTCTAATTTACCCTCCTGGCCTCCTCTGTTGTATATAAAATTATGTTGTGAATTTCTAATTTCACCCTGGGCTTACTTGTAGCTGCAGGCTTGATGGTACTCCAAGAAAATCACCTCATTCATAGAGATCTAAAACCTCAGGTACCAGAGTGAATCTTTTCATAGCTTGTACGGGTATATCTTAATCTCTTCTTTCTAATAATTGTCAGCTGCTTATTTAGTTTATGTTCAAGTACCCACCTTTTTATTATTTATGAGGTCCAATCTTTGTACACAGAGGACAACAAATATGCAAGTTGTGGAAAGTTACATTGATTTTGATTAAGTTATTTATTTGTTTTATTTTAATTAAGGTTTATTTATTTTTCAGTTATTTTTTGGACAATGTTTCTATGCATTTATGATTGTTTTATTTTAATAAAGAGAGTTATCTTATTTTGATTTGGGTAAAAATATCTTATTTTTTAGATTTATTTGTTGGAGCGGCAGTTTATTCTGATTGTTTATCAACTATAAATGCCATGCTGCTCCATTCTAATAAAATAAGTTAAAAGGAAAATTAAACCTTTGAATTCCTACGCAAGTTCTTTACAATTATACCTAGATTTTGCTTCAGATTGTTTCTGACCAGACTTTGTTGTGGTAGAATAATTCTGAATGAGAGATTTTAGGAGAGTAAGAGGATAGAGAGAAGAACAGAGAAGATAGAGAGAAGAAGAGAGAGAAGAGGTTAGAGAAGGAAGAGAGATGAGGGGTTGTGGATAATCCGAATTCTATTGATCCAACATTAATGATACAATTGAATAGAGAAGTATTTATAGGACCCTGAACCCCCAATGGCTATAACTCCTAACAGCTATACCAAATTAAACTAACTAATGTCAGAATTATAAAAACATAACAATAACCCCCCCCCAAAAAAAAAAGAGAGAGAGATCCTTGCCCTCAAGGATTAGTGATAACAAAGATAGAAAACTTTTGCTGAAATTGGTGCAAAGGCATTCAAGATGTTAGATGCTTCTTCATCTGGCAATTGCTTCCATTTAACTAAAATTTCAGTAATGATTCGACCGGACCCACTCTTTTCTGCAAAATCTGCTCAGGTTCGATTGTGGCTGGAATTTTTGGCCAATCAAGTGGTGGATATCCCTGCTTCACCTTAGGATCAGGGCACAACTTCAACAAAGACTCATGGAAGGTAGGATGTATTCTAGAGTCAGGTGATAAATCAAGTTTGTAAGCAACAGCCCCTATTTTTTCCAGCACCTTGTAAGGGCCAAAAAATCATGGTGCTAATTTCTAAGAACTCCTAGCGTAGCAACAGATAATTGTCTATAGGGTTGTAGCTTAAGAAAAACCCACTGTCCCACAATAAATTCTTGATCAGATTTGTGAGCATCAGCCCTTTGCTTCATCATATTGGCAGCACGGTGCAAATGATGCTTTAAAACCTTTATCATCTCTTCCCTAGCTGTGAAGGAGCTGTCTAACACATTTAGAATAGAATTGTGAGGTAAATAAGGGCAATGTAGAGGAGGAGCCTGAGCATATAAAAGTTCAAACGGAGTGGTCTTAGTTGCTGTATGAAAAGTAGTATTATACTACCATTCAACTTGTGACAGCCATCTAATCCATTCCTTGGGTTGCTCCCAACACATACACCTCAAATAGGTTTCTAAACACCTATTAAGAACTTTGGATTGGCCATCCATTTGAGGATGATAGGCTATAAAAAAGGTGTTGTTCAATATCTAAAATCTGCAAAAATTCTTTCTAAAACCCACTTACAAAAATTGGATCACGATTAGATATAATTTTAGCAAGAGCACCATGTAATTTATAAACACAATCCATAAAAATATGTGCTAAGGAAGATGCTGAATAAGGACAAGTTAAAGAAATAAAATGTGCATACTTACTCATCCTATCTATTAAAACCCAAATCATGTCCTTATTATTAGATTTAAGAAGTCCCTCAATATTGTCTATAGTAATACTTTTCCAAATTTGACGAGGTATAGGCAAAGGTTGAAACAGCTCTAGGGATGCAATAGCTTCATATTTATATTATGCACAGGTATCACATTGTTTGACGAAGTTTGAGACATCATTAATAAGCTTTTTCCACCAAAACAATGCCTTAACCTGCTGGTAAGTAGCTTGAATGCATGAATGACCCCCTTGAGGGCTAGAATACAACCATTCAAGAATTTGTTGTTTTGAAATAGGATCATGACCAATTACCAACTTCCCTTTTCTTTTTAATAAGTTACCATCCCAGGAGAAATGACTCCAAAATCCATTTTTTGCTTGAGCCTTTTGTTGGATTTCTGTAACTACGACATCCTTCTTCCCAACTCTTCTTGATTTTGTCAGGCATTTCAAGCAAAGAAATGTCTTAAATAATTTGCATAATTCTGGAAAGAGCATCAGCTACAGAATTTTCATGCCCCTTTTTTTACTGAATTTTATAATAATCCAGCTAATTTGTGAATCTAAAACATCTGAAAGGATGTTTTCTGTTTCTGTCCAAGCAAATATTTCAGGCTTTTCTGGTCTGATCAAATGATAAACTTCTGCCTTTCCAAATATTGGTGCCAACAGACTACTGCCAGCACCACTGCCATCAGTTTCTTCTCATAAATGGAGAGTTTTTGATGTCTCTCAGTCATACCCTTGCTAAAATAAGTAATCGGCTGTCCCTCTTGCATTAACACAGCTTCCAAACCCACTCCACAAGCATCTGCCTCAACTATAAATTGTTGTGAAAAAGCAGTAAGTATGAGAACAGGTGCTGAAATCGAAACATCTTTGAGTTTATTAAATGCTTCAGTTGCTTGTGACCATTCAAACCCATTTTTCTTGAGGAGAAGGGTTAAGGGCTTAGTTAAAATGATAAAATCCCGTATCCTTTAATAAAGCATCTGTATTACCCCATCAAACCCAAGAATGCTCTTTAATTGCATAACATTCTATGGTTCAGGCCAATCAGCTATTGCTTGTAACTTCTTAGGATCAGTTCTGACTAAGCCATTTCCAACCAAATGTCCCAAGTACTCCACCTCTTTGGCAGCAAAAGAGCATTTGCTTTTCTTGACAAAATAATGGTTTTCTCTTAAAATAGAGAAAACTTGCTTCAAATGTTGCACATGGTCATTAATATTAGCACTATAAACCAAAATATTATCAAAGAATACCAGAACAAACTTCCTTAAAAAATGATTTGAAAATGTTATTTATAGCGCCTTGAAATGTTGCTAAGTCAAAGGGCATAACTAACCATTCGTAATGTCTGCTATAAGTTTTAAAGGCAGTTTTATGTATATCTTTCGGCATCATTCTGATTTGATGATGGATCTAGCTTCATAAACCACCTTGCTATGCTCGATTCATCAAATAAATCCTCCACTAAAGGAATAGGATACTGGTTTTTAATAGTCTTCTTATTTAGCTCTCTGTAATCTATGCACATCCTCTATGTACCATCTTTCTTTTTAACCAAGACAATTTGAGCTGAAAAAGGGGAAGAGCTCTCTTGGATAACCCCTATTTGAAGAAGATCCCCAACTAATCTCTCAATTACATCCTTTTATGCAACGGGGTGTCTGTAAGGCTTCAAATTAATTTGATTGGTGCCCTTTTGTAAAACAATTGGATGGTTATGGCGTTCTCTAAAAGGTGGTAATCCTTTAGGCTCCACAAATAGGTCAGAAAAATCTGTCAAATTGGCTGCAATTTCTGCTGGAATTTTTTCAGGAGCTTGAAGATAAAAATTTTGCAGACTCGTTGGATGCTCTATAGCAGGTTGTATTAGATAAACCTAACTTTCCCAAGAGTCTCTCCTCCCTAAATGCTTTGACTGGACTACCCTCAATTGATTAGGAATGTTAGCTTAGAGTTTACTCAGCTTTCCTTCATACTAGAAAAACATAGTGAGGGTCTCATAGTTCCAAAAAGTATTCTTAATGCTTTTCAGCCAATGTAACCCTAAAATCATGTCATATGAATGCAATTCTGAAATTTTGAAGTCAAAGGTAAAATCCAAGCTCTGCATGTGCCATTTGAAACCCTTCCACACCCATGCATTTTTAATTTCTGACCACCAGCAACTTCAACCCATCACTCGTGAATATTACCAGGTTGCCACCCTAACTTTCTTACTAACTCCAGATCTAAAAAATCATGCGTGCTTCCACTATCAATGAGAATTTGGAGCTGTTTTCCGCCACAGTAGCCCACAATCCTCATTGATAAAGCGTCGTCAATTCCTTCTATTGCATATAATGGAATTAAGGGTGACCCCTCTTCTGGACTATCATTATTTTCTGAGTCCTCAGTTGACTTTTCTTCATCTGTGTTTTCTTGAATTTCAATGAAATGGAGCTGCATCTTCTGTCTTTGGGGGCATTTATGGTCTCTAGAAAATTTTCCATGGCAATCAAAGCACAAATTCTTGCTTCGATGTCCAGCTTCTTCCTCTGCAATCAGAGTTTTAAAGGTGTTACTGCCACTTTTTGATGAAGAATTATTAATTTTTGGAAGAGAAGAGGATTTTCCCTTTTGCTGGGCCCCACTGCTCAGAAGGGCATTTTTATAGGAAGGCCAAGTGGTCTGATTCAACAGTGATGAAATATTCCTAGAAAGAGACGCATGTGATGGAGTCTTGCCACCCATCTTTTTTTTTGCCAGGCATTGAATCGAGATTTCTTGCATGTGAGCTAGCGATTGAGCCTCTTGAAGAATCCTCAGTTTAAAAAGATGCATAGGTCCTGCGTATTCTTCCATAAGTCCTTCCAAGTAAGCATCAACAAGATAGTCCTGGGAAAGGTGGAGCTTGCATGCAATGGCATTGAAATCATCATTATGGTCTGCCAAAAACCCCTTTTGGCAAAGTCGCATCAAGTTGCTTATAGGTCTTTCATGTACAAGCCCGAATCTTTCTTGAAGCCACTCAACGTACTGCTTCTAAGTGGGTTCAAAACCACCCCATGTTTTCTCTATCATGGTGTGCCATGACCATGCCTTATTGTCTAAGTATATACTTTCTGTTCATACTTTCTCGTCTTCTGAGGTGTTGTCCAGTTCACAGAAATGCTCACATCGCATAAGCCATCCCACGACATCAGACCGGAAAAACTTAGGAAACTCCATTTTTGTAAATTGGGTCTTGCGTGTGTGCTCATTTCTAGTGCGTAAATCATCATCTCGGTCCTGATGACTTTCTATTCTAAGATTGCGCCTTCCTCTTCTTTCATGATTAGGAGGGCCTTCTTCTCTTTCTCGTATAAGTAGTTGTAACTGATTAGAGATGCCTTCAACCATCTCTGTTAAAGTGTCCATCTTTTCGAATCTTTCTTCCAATCTTGTGACACAATCATCCATCTCTTGCTTTTTCTGGTTTCTGGTTTGTACCATAAACTGTCTGTGTAAGGAGAAGATTAAAAAGAGCCGATGGCCAAGGATTGGCTAGCTCTAATACCACTATTGTGGTAGAATAATTCTGAATGAGAGATTTTAGGAGAGTAAGAGGATAGAGAGAAGAACAGAGAAGATAGACAGAAGAAGAGAGACAAGAGGTTAGAGAAGGAAGAGAGAAAGAGAGATGAGGGGCTGTGAATAATCCGAAGTCTATTGATTCAACAACAACGATACAATTGAATAGAGAAGTATTTATAGGACCCTAAACCCCCAACGGCTATAACCCCCAACAGCTATATTGAACTAAACTAACTAATGTCATAATTATAAAAACATAACAGACTTTGATATAGGTTTTAATTTCACTGTCGTTAGGTTATTTAATAAAAGATATATGTGTGTGTGTGAAAGAAATGACAATAATTCAGCATTTGTCTTAAAAGATTATGTGTCATGCTTTTATTAGAGAACCTGATGGCAAAAATTTAAATTTTGTACATAATTTTTCTCCATTTATTATAGCTTTATTCCTTTATCTATAGAAGCTGCATTGTGAAGCAAAACTATAGTTCTAATTCCTTAGAACAAAAATGAGTCACTGCTAAATAAAGCGATGTAATGAAGGAAGAATAAATTACTGACTTAAATATCAAAATTTGCAGTGCCATTCTTAGTTCAGAAACATTGCTGATTTAGAATCTTTTGTTAACTTGATATGGGGAACTTCTTTATGATCATCTGTAGTTGTTTCATAGTTACTATTGCTCATATTTTAATATGTTAATGTCATGATTCTATATTTTTGGAACTTGCAGAACTTACTATTGTCTAGCACTGGAGGTTTACCACTTCTAAAAATAGGCGATTTTGGTTTTGCAAGGTAGGATAGCTCTGTAAGTGGTTTAACTTTGCAAATTGGGTTATTATGTTGTTGATCATTTTTTTTGGCCAAAATGTTGTTGATGATTGAATTAAGCACATTTTGTGGGTGTGAATTTACACATAAGACATTTTTTTTTTCAGTGAAGATCAGCTTTTTTAATGAATATTTCTTTATATGCTCTCCCTCATAGTTTTATATGGCAAGCAGTCAAATGACATTTTTTATTTTATTGGTTTTGAATATTTTTTACTTCAACATGATTGCGATCATTGTTTGGTTGAGTAATAAGGAACTCAACACCTTTAAAGCAAGGTCTTGAATTTCAGCCTAGATGGAAAAATCCATGTCGGGAGAGATACCTCCCATTTGGGGCTAAACATGACTTGTATTTAGATTAGTTGGCAGCATCAGATACTGAATGGTTTGTTACAAAAAAGAAGAAGTAGAATGTGAAGATATTGGAGTTTTTTTCCCCTCCGATTTGGTAAGTCCTGATTTATGGATGTCCTAGGTCTCTCACACCCCAAGGGTTGGCAGACACGTTATGTGGTTCACCATTGTACATGGCTCCAGAGATAATTCAAAATCAGAAGTATGATGCCAAGGTGATGAAAGATAGAATGACATTATCACTTGCAGATGTCCCCCTCTAATTATTTGATTTTGTTGTTGCAGGCTGATTTATGGAGCGTTGGAGCCATATTGTTCCAGCTAGTGACTGGGAGGCCACCATTTGATGGAAATAATCAATTGCAGGTTTTGTAGAAGGATCACAATTATTGTTTTCCTTCAAGAATGATGAAGACAGTATTTCCTTGTTACTGGAAGTACCTTTTTCCCCTGATCACTTTTTGTGTTGCAGCTTTTTCAGAACATTTTAACATCCACTGAACTGCAGTTCCCACAAGAGTCTTTGAATGAGCTACATCCAGACTGTTTGGATCTTTGCAGAAGCCTGTTACGTCTAAACCCAGGTATCGATGGCAGCTGCATGGCCTGCACATATGTGCACTATCTTATATGCTTATGGCTGTGTGTTTGTGTAAAGGTGCTGGATCTGAGATTGAATATGATCAGTCAGTTTATCACATTTTATATCATTTAGAATGCATGCAGACAACTTCTCTGAAGTTGAACTGTGATGTGCAGTTGAGCGATTGACATTCAAAGAGTTCTTTGGTCACAATTTCCTGAAGGAGCCCAGGTTATAATTTACTAGTAGTTTAAAACCTTTCATCTTGTATACCTGTCACATGTTCTTCCATGCCACAGTAACATCTCATTAATTCATATAGGTCAATTGTGAATGTTGAACGGTCTTCTGTACAACCACCAGAAAGATCAATGTTCCAGCAATGTGGTAGTATTTCAACATCTGACAAAAGGCCTCATTTGCATTCTGCTCTTCATCTGAAGAAATCAGTAGATGACCCAGTGGTAATTAGTTCAGCTGTCAATGAGACTGTGCTGTTACAAAGAAAGCATAGTGGAAATACTGCTGACACCAAGAGTGTTAAGGGCATAATTTCAAGAATTACTTGTGATAAGCAGGGACTTGGTAATGTTGCTCAATTGTCAGACCAGCCTCAAGGTCCAATACTTTCTATTACTATGATCTTGTAGTTTCATGGCTTTTCACCTGTTTTTCCTGATCCTTTTTATTTTCATTTTATTTAGCTTCTCATTTGATGGAGTCCATTGAGGAAGACTATGTCCTAGTTCCTCACTTTGCATCATTGGAGGTTTCCTCTGATTACTTTGAGGCATCTACGCAAGATAATATCACAAGCAGGGTTTCTATTTGTCCTTCAAAGAGGGTTGACCTTGAAGTTGGAGTTGCAAAGCAAACGAAGGATTTAGCCTTTTGCAATGTCGATAGAGAAAAAAGGTCAAAAAGTGGTAAACTTGAGACATCCTCTGTGTTTGCCGTCCCGAGGAAAGAGCAGGGTGCATCCTCAAAGCAGCCTTCAAGTAGGTTAGATTTGTTGCATCAATATGTACAGGCTCTCTCGGCACTTTCGCAAGAAAAAGTTAGTCTTGCTCTTTTAGTTACATCTTTGTGTTAATATATTATGCGCGTTGACTTTAAAACTATGCTTGCGTTATTATCACAGCTAAATTCTTCTTTCATTCTTTCCCCTCCATTTTATTTCATGTTTCCCCTTCCTATTCGTTCTGCCTACTCTCAAGAATGGTCTATACATTCATTAGATATATGCAAATATAACGTTTACGATTCAACAATCAGAATTTCATGCAAGAAGCTCATATAACATTTTGCCTGTTAACTCATTTACTTGGAAGTATAATATAGTCCAGAACGGACTGAATGTGTAATCTGTATCTCTAATTAATAATTTCAGTGTTACTTATATCAATGCTATATCAAAACTCTATGATGGAACCCAAGCTCAAAATGATATTAAAATGATTGATAATTTTGCACCCCAATATACTCAACCAAAAAACCTCTCACGCACTCACGCACCTTACACATCCCATGTGTTTAGATGCCAGCCCATTTAGTCATGGCTTCAACAGTCTACTGGCATGTCTCTACCTCTCTCTCTGCTTTTGTCTTTTGGTTTTAGTTTAAATGGTTATTCTTGCAGTATGATGCAGGATTGTATCTAGAATCATTTGCAATCGAGCTGGTGGTTTTGGCTATATGGAAGAAAGCCCTTGAAATTTGTAACTCGTGGCTGGCCTCCATTGCTGAGGGCAAGTTGCCTGGAAGCACTTCAGGGAAGGAATCCACAATCTCAGACAGAGATGAAAGCATATCACAACCCATGCTAGAGAAAATAGATTTTAGTGATCCTTCAGCTGTGTCCTTGTGGGCCAAGAAAGGATTTATTTTTGCAGTTGATCATGCTGATAAACTTTCAAGCCTTATTCAAAATATGGATGGTAGGACTTCCTTTCTTGTTCTAACTTTATTTCTTTCAGAGGAAAAATTTTCTGCACTATGTACTAAGAATATAAAATATATTGCAGGTGCAGCTGAGATGCCATATGCAATGGAGATCATATTTCAAAAGGTACTATCAATCGGCACAAGCGGTGCTGTAAGTAGACATGGTTTTCCGGTTCAATTTTTTCTTTACATTCTTATGTCCTCTATTGCCGAGGCATAAAAATGGTGGCTATTACAAACAAATGATAAATTACCTTTTAACTTCATGTGATTTAAATTGTGTCATTTAACGCCCTTGAAGTTTGTGCAGTTATCACTTAATGATCCTATGATATTTTATATCCAAATTTTAACAAAAATAAGCATGTGAATATTTGGGCCCATTGGGAGAAGAAAGAACAGAGAGGAAATAGAAGGAGAACTCAGATTTACTAGTCTGTCAATAAGCAATGCATGATAGATATCCAGTCCTAACCCTCCTTATTTATACTGATCTAAGTATATTGGTCATTAGCAAACATAACTGAACATAACCAACATAACTAATTCCTATGGGTTAAAGGGCAAAAATATCCAACTTTTTCTCCAAGAGCACCCAATATCCTTAAGTAAACAAAGTGCAGGAGTATTTATAGACTTGTTTTAACGAGTGCAGCCTTTCCTATCCTGGTAAATTTGCCTAACATCCGTTAACTTTAATTGTTAAAAAAAGAGAGAGAGAAAGCAAACATAAGGTACAAAAATATCCATAAACTTTTCCTCCAAAATCTTCTAATATCATTAAGTCAACAACAGCCCATATAATCTTTTATAAAGTTAATCGGTATCCATATACCATTGTTGGCTTAGCGAACTAGAAGCTCTTGGAGAGAAAGTTTATGAGTATTTTTGTACCTTACGGTTGCTTCCATTTTTTTTTGTATCGGTCAACGTTAACGGACATCAAGCAAATTTAACAAGATGGGGAAGGTTGCACTCATTAAAACAAGTCCATTGGTATTATTGCACCTTTATTCACATAAGGATACTATGTGCTCCTAGAGAAAAAATTGTCAGGTATTTTTGCCCTTTGACCCAATTCCTACATCTATTTATATTTACACAACAGTATTTAAGTGGAACTTTTGTTTTGCCTCATGCTAGTTTTGGGAGTTGGGTCCCCATCAAATGTTAATAGCTGTGAAAGATTTAAGTTTGTTCAAAGCACAAGTGAAACATGTTAAACAACGACTTGTTCATCTTTTTTAACTTCAATATACTGGAATTAGTATTAGATGGGTAAATGATAATACAACAAATGACAAAGGAGTTGAATGACGCACTTTAAAACATGCGAAGACATTGATTTTAGGTCAAGTACGTGGAGTAAAGTATAACTGACCCCTGTGTTAATTATTACTTGACTAAGCAGTGATTGCCTTTTTTCTAGGTAGATGAGTGTCTGGAAAATAGAGGCAAGGCAGCTGCATCATACTCAAAAGCGATGCTTCTACTTTCATTCGTTGTGAACCAAGCAGTGCACCTTCCACTGAACCCACCATTCTCACTAACTCCTGCTAATAAGGAGAGAATTTTACAGTATATTTCCAAGCTGCAGTCACGTCAACTTCAGTCTTCGCCATCCTTCTAAGGTATCCGACATTCTTTTATGAAGTAAATAACCATTTGTATAGTAGTCCTTGTACAGTTATATGTGGGATTGCTGATAAACAGGAGCAATTTGTTGGTGAATTGAATATTGACTTTTTCTATGCCTAGGTGAGAGAAAAAGAAAAGCTTTGATTTGATAGATATGATGTACAGTGAATTTTATGACTTAGCATGGTGGTACTGTAGAGGAACTTACCTTTATTGGACGATTTTGTATATAATATTATAAATCCTTCCACATGAAATTTTCATAGTTTTGTATGTTGTACAGTTCTGATCAAGTGTTGATCAGTTCAAATCGGTTGAGTTGTTTACAATCTCACTGTCCTTGAAGGCTTTGATGAGGATTTTAGATGTTTTACGATAATACAATAGTTGAGAGTGACACAAAGTAAAGATGTGTTTGTGGTTCCCTTTTGCAGGGAATTTAGGTTTAGCTTTCTTTTACATTCATCCCAGCAGATATGGTTCACAAGTAGCTGTGGTTGAACATCTTTTTCAAATCTGATAATTTCACAATGAAAATTGAAAACCAAGGTATATTATTATGAAGGGTACATGGCACTATTGAGGAAGGTAGGGAAGAAGTCAACAGATAATTTAAAATTGAAAATTACATATTTAAAACTCATGAGGAAGCGGCTCACAATCATCCTTTTTTTTTTTTTAAAGAAAGGAGACATTAAGCTCTCCCAACCAGAAAAAACATCTATTTGTGAAGTTTGCACAAAGAGAATTGTTCTTGGATGTCAAATAATCTACAGGATGACGAAAATCACTGAACGAAGGCTTATAGATTACTTTCTATTCAAGGCATAAACGGTACTCGATGTTTCTTTTAAAAGTCTTTAGCAGAGTTTTAATTGTTGTAACATAAGTCCCGAGATAGTAAATATGAGCATGTAGAAAATTAATATAGTACACACTCCTACACAAGTTTCGTGAAGCTGCAGAATTAGAGAATAAACAATAGGTGACAAGGGGAGTTAGAACTGAAATGCAAAACCAAAGTTTTCATTTTGTGTGACTGCATGCAAATATCAAATGCGGTCAAGTGGAAGCCTCCCCCTCCAATCGCATTCTCTTCGGACGTTTCTCTTCACCTTCGTTACTAGTAGTTCCAACCCTATTTTCCTTGGCCTCCGCTGAACATCTTTTGTAAGGTTTAAACCCAGTTCGACATGCCTTAAGCTTTCCTTGTCCGAGCCCTATCGTTAAAAGTCCTTCCTCTTTATGTGTGTATTCTAAGAATGGCATGTTCTTCTTTACTCCTACCTGATCAGGACTGTATTTGTTGCTGTCAAGGTCTTCCTCTTTGTCAACCATGTTCTTCCTGTGATCCTCGTTTTTGTGGTCTTTCTGAATGTCCTTTTCCAAGAGTGGTGGTGAAAAGCTTTGTGGCAAAACCTCTCTGGAGAAGAGAGCCCGAAAGGCCTGTCGCCCCTGATAATATGAGTGATGTGAGAAGCGAAACAACTAAATATATGCATCACAGTAAAATCCAATAGCTAGATATTGTTACCTCTTCAGAGACCTCCTTCCAAGAATCAGTAGGGTTGCCAGCACTCCTACTACGGCGGTTACTGGGCTCAGTTAAGTGGTTTGCATCTGGTGCTAAGGACTCTTCCTTCCCTTTCTCATTCTTCTCTAATGCATCTGTCTCTATATCACTACTAGAGGTTGTGTTGGAGCCACATGAAGAACGGTCTACTGGTCTTCTTCCGTTGGTCTTGTTAGAATCAAGGTGCTCAGAAATTGCTTCATTCTTGTCATGTTCAGCAGCCTTAGGTGAAGTGGTTAACTTGGCATCTCCACTCTTAGAATCTGATGAAGAAACAGCTTGCGACTTGGAGTCTGAATGTTGAGCTTGCAGAGCTTCTGAATATTCTCCATTTGGCAGCTGATCTAGCAGAGGAGGATTCTCAACTGTAGTCTCTTTCTGATCTTTTCTAGCTGCTGGTGCTTCACCTGTATTCATGGAAGAAACTACCACCGCTGATGCAGGAGGAGAGGAGAAAGCAGAATGGAGTGGAGCACACAAGGGAAGCAGTCCATGGGCTGTCCACCATGCAGTTGCAGCAGCCACAGTAGCAGCTGCAATAGCTGCCATACTTGGAGGACAGCTAATTTGTCTTGATGTGAAACCTCCTTGAGAGGAAGCAAGAGAATCAGCTGAAGCTTCTGCATTTGCATAGGGCCAAAACGTAGCAGCAAAACTAGCTGCAGCATGGGCTGCAGGATTTTGCATTAGGGTGGAGACAATGAGGCTTGAAAATGTGGAGGACATGTGAAAAAATGAATGGCAATGATCTTGACTACAGAGAACTTGCGGGAAGGGAGGACAAGCAGGAAATATTTGATGACTAGGACATTGAGGTGTGTTATTCTTACTTGTGTTTGACGTAGCTGAATCTGTGAAAATATTAGGTTGCCCACTAAGCTCTCCCACAGGCTGAAATATAGAGTCTCGTAATAGCATTTCTTGGGGAGGGTTTTGTGCACTTGTTCCCAGGTTCCCATCAAGACCGTGCACTGGGACATGCCTTGGGTAATTCTGATTGTCTTGTATCCCATCTGTTGTTAATGCACAATTGAGATCATCTGTTTTCTGACTTGGAACCAATTTCACACCTGAAGCATCAGAACCCTCCAACTTAGAGGCTTTTGTCTGTTCTGGTTTTCCATCATCTATTTTGCACTTCTGATTTTCAAGTTCAATAGTGACAGAAGAATCATTTGTTTCATCTCGAGTAATTCCCACTCTTACTGAAGGTATGAACTCCCTTAAAATGCATGAGTTTCTCAGTGGTACTGACAATGAAATTGATCTGTTTTTTGCTGAAGATATAGTGGAACAGGCCTGTGGAATAGCAAATACTCTTGAGCAGTTCTCATCCTTATTTTCAGTGACATTTATTGGTCTTTCATCTCCATTACATTTCTGAGAGAAGTAGAAAGAATGTATAATTGAACTGAAAGTAAAAACTGCGGAAATTTGCTTGGTAAGTGAAACTTTGAAAATAAGAGTGAATAAGTAACCTCCGGAAGTGGTTCTTTCTCTAAGTCCAGTGCTTGTTTACCATGCGGAGGTGAAACTGACGTTAGTTTGCGATCCTTTGCTCCATTATGTGATGCTGGAGAGCCAGTACTGGTCTTCCGAGGATAAGGATTAGTTGGTTTTCTTTTAGGCCGTGGAGGAGGGATGTCAATGTCAAGAGCTTGACCTATTGGAACACCCTTTTCAAGGGCCTCTTTCTCCAGCTGAAAGTTAAAATTGTAATTGGATTATCAGCAAGTGATGTATCTTAAGAACAACTCAAAATCACTGATTGAGGCGTCTGAGCAATTTTTTTATGTGCAGTCCCAAAAGTGTTATAAAAGAATTTAAATGTCTGATACCCGGTATTTCAGCACATTCATGCATGACTATTGATATATCAACGCTTTGGCAATGGTGCAGCAAGTGAGATTTTAAAGGAAGCATGCATTGCTGGTTGTGTGTGTGTGTGTGTGTGATTGCCCTTGTATGTAGTTTTGAAAGCCAAAACACCACGCTATATTAAAGCTGAGAAAAGAAAACCTACAGAATCCTTCTCTGATCATGTTTGAGGAAAAATCTCCTTTAGTTTTAGTCAAGTATAACCCAAATAAAGTGGTAAATGACCAGCCTCAGAAAATTTATGCATTATTATATGTCTTCATTTAATATTACTTATGCACAAACATTGTGCCCAAAAAGAAACAACTTATGCACAAACATTACTAGAGATTTGGATAGCAAATACCTTTTTGAAGGAAGACTGATATATTTCTCTTAAAGCTTCAGTTTTCCATTAAAACTGATCTCTTGAGCAAAACTATCTTTTAAACTCTTCATCTCTAATTTTTGGTGCTTTATAGAAAATTTTCTATATTTATTTTGTAAGAGGAGAAGAACCGCTCTAACTCTGAACAAGCTCATTATTTTGGCTGTAGTGTCTTCAAGCATTACTAATAACTACTTAGAAGTTTTGCATCTTTGTATCTTGTATAAATTTTTTTGTGATATAAAAGCAATTCCTTAGCCTAAATATTTGTTTTATGAATTAATATATTCTTAAATATCCCTTATGTTCTTTTTCTTTTTCACATTTAAACCAATGACATGCTTCTTTCAAATGTCAAGCGTAAAATTAATAGAAGCCAATGCCAATAATATTAGATTGGTCTAAGCAACCCCTACAGCTACCTCATCATCTTTGGTTTGAAACCAAATATATCTAAAGGGAAGGAAAATGAGAGCAAAGAAATAATTAAGGAATAAAAAGTGAGGAAGTAGAAGTTTTCTCCTCTCTAGTTATATTATTCAGTTCTCTTTAAATGGTGTTTCATTCTCAGATCATACTTAGGATTCTATCCTAAAACATCCTGTCAGAGCGCTAAAGTCTTGTATCCATTTACTATATGATAAAAGAAACTAGATAAAATCTTATATCTTTTGCAAACATGGTGTGGTAGCCGTATGCTCAATTCTACTCCTCACTTCGAACGTGCACCTACTGCCTCCTTGCATATGCATTGTTAATCACTAACATTCCCCCCTCTTTGTTAGTTCTTGACGCTGACTTACTTAGAAGCTACCGAAGAGCAACAAATGACCCAATAGCAAGATATATATATATATATATATATGTATGTATGTATGTATGTTCTCATTAACATGGTATGTTTTACCACTTTAAATTCCACGTTTGTCTTTATATACCTTGTAGTTGTTTAAATTCTTTGCTTTGATGATCATCCTTAGATATAGGACTGCAACAACTCATACGCCTCAATTAGATTTCATAGAATAGCTGTGAAACCACCTATCTATATTGTTCAATCATGCACCCTTGGCCTTTGCCTCTGCAAGACAAAACTCAAGAGCACGTGGCTACCTGCAACGGCTTAGAAAACATGGTTCCATTTTTTTTTTATTGTCACGTGCTGATGAAGCCTCCATCCCTTGATTTTTTTGGCCTTGATTATTTACGAGATTAGGCAAGTTGAATGTCCTTACAGTCTTGAGATTTTCCAACTTCCCAACTTCCATGTGATCCTATTACACTAGCTCCACAATTGAGATTCACTTGTAGCAAATGTTCATGTTTTCCCATCATGAAACACCCAGGGCACTAGATTACTTTAATATCATTGATCCTGCAGTCCCAGCCTCCCCCCCACCCAAAAAATAAAAATAAAAATAAAAACCCCGATTTCACACCTGGACTATATCCTGCTCCCCCACTATTAACCCAGTCTAGTTTTTTTTTTTTTTTTGGACCAACTTAACCCAGTCTAGTTGAGTCCTGTTAAAAAAAAAGGGATGAGAGACACAGAAAAAAGTACTCAAAATTTTCATGCAATACTCTTGCAACTCCACTCCCACAAAACACAAAAGCTTATTTTCCCCATTTATACAAAGCTTCATAACCCTTAAATTTTCTCCTATTTAATAAAGTTTACTGAAAACCATAACCTGCACTTTTTCAAGAACATTAATGCATATATTTTTGCACGCAACACTGGACTCACAAAACTAAACCTAGAAATTCTAAAACTCATTAATAATATTAACCAACCTATAAATTTGAGTTTACATTTCCCAACACTGCTCCTTAAATTCAAAATTTTCTTTATTCCATAACATGCTTTTAAACTTTCAATATGATCTTTAGTCTTCAATGTCTTGATAAAAAACTATCTGCAATATGATCTTGACACTTCAAATACTTGATCTCCATTCTACCGTTTGCAATATTCCTCATCTCGCTTTGTGAGCTTCCTTTATACTCTTGCAATTCAAAAATCTGTCACAGATATTTATGAACAGCTTTTGCAATAACTCCACTTGACAAAGCTCTTGGAGCTTTAGCTCCTTCTTCTTCATGAGCCATTTAACTGAAGGTTGGATTATTTCCCAGAGGAAGCATTTGCCTTTCAAATTCAACGTGCTACCATGAACCAAGACCTCTAGAATGAGTTTCAATCTTGACAGCCGGAACTTTATAGTTTTTACCCTGTATAACTAGTGTAAATATTAGTCCTTTACTAGCTATAGCTATGTTACGGTTGTACTGCATATTGTACTACATCCTGTATAACTCTACATAAGATTAAAATTTAAAAGTTAAGACTTTCTCAATTGCGTGGTCTAAAACAATTGTGTCTCCTTTTCCTCATCTATATTCTTTACGATATCATCTCTTGCTGTGACTCCCTCCAACAGCACCTTCCTTTTTCTTTCCTTGATGGTGCTTCATTCCAGTCCTTGGTCACCCCTTGGTCTTTTCTCATACTACTCCACAGCTATCTAATCAGTTCACATGTTGCCAAAGGCACATGATGACTTGATGTCATCCTCACCTTCCTTTGGCTTATTAATGTTAGTTTGCTCATGGTTTCAAACTCAATGTTAGCAACTAAACACGAGGGGTACACTCGTTGTGGGAATTAACCCAGCACCTCATGGCATGAGCTAATGATAACCATGCAACACGTGTTCACATTCCCAACGGCACCCATCTCTTTCAAGAGGATTTGCAGCATATCAAGCCAATTGCACGATACTGAGTTTTTGCACTAGAGTTGAGTAGCAACCACATCTCTCTCTTCCAAATACTAGAATGCTGTCAGAATTGGGTTTCATGAGAGAACCAAACATTGAAATTGGTTGCCACTTACTAGGGAAAAGATTCAGTCTTTTTGTATTGCCCACTTGGTCTGCCCACTCCAATGACCAACTAGCAAACACTAAATCTCTCCGAGGTCCTTAGATTAATTACATTTGTAATAAGCTTGGTCCATATGACATATACGCACAAGCTAAAGATGCAGTGTCGGAATAGTGTATAGATTAATCCTTGTACTGGCTGCCCTTCAGTTATATTACAGATGGGACTGCACCTTGCATTGCTCTATATATAAGATAGAATTTCTCAATTACATATTCCAAACAATCGTGTTTCCGTTTTCTTTTCAAATTCATTTCTGTAGTAGCGCAATTAGGGGGGGGGGGGGGACTGGTTTGAGCGAGCAATCAAATTGATCACTTGACCAAACCAGCCCCCCTTTGCTGAAGTGGGAAAACTAACTCTACAGAAGAGAAAGCAATTAGAAATGACTACTGATGCTTTCAACGAGCAATAAAGCAAAGTAACACACAAGAAAGTCCTTCTGATTTCTTCCAGTCATCCTGCGATATGTATATAATTTAGTGGTCTCAACACAAAATCCCAACAAATCCAAGCAATACAATAAAGTCACTCTGAACTATAGGCATCCTCTGCTATCAGATAAAATTAGTTATTTCACACCACCACAAAATAGAAGCTGGAGGATTTCAAATTGCTCCTTTATCTCATAAGCCTAATAAGTAATAACCCAGTGCTACTGATCCCAAAATTTTCTCTCCATCATGTATAATCCAAAGATCTCAGGGAAAAAAGAAAAGGAAAAAACTACCAAATCAACCATATCCTTGCCATCAAACAGTCCAATGGCTCCCTGCCACACTTTCCTTGTTACAGAGTACACTAGCTTTGAGTTCTGATATTTTTTCAAAATTTCCTACAACCTCTGGAGAAAATTTCACCCCTGGAAAGACAGAGGTCACTGAAACTTATCCAGTCACATGAGTAGATATCAAATCAAACTACTAATAACAGCTATGATCAATTTTGGTGTCCAGCAGATCTTTCACAGTTACCAGTACTTGTATCATGTCAACAGTTTGACATGAGAACAAAACTCTAAGCATAAATGACTCCTAATCATTTAGACATCTTAAAACCAAAACTTCATCCAAGAATTCCAATCAGTGAGCAAAAGGGACTAGGAAACCAACCTTTCTAGAGAGAACAGATTTTAAAATCGCACCTCCAGAGTAAAATAAGTGACCAGTCATACATCATTCAACTAGTATTTCTCGTCACCCACCTCCAAAGATCATATAAAGATCTGTTAATAATCTGTCTCTAAACTCTGAGATTAAATCAGCAAACTATACAGGGCCAGCATGTACAATCCCTTTGCAAAGAAATTGCTAATGCTAAACTAATTTCTCTAAATAACCTCACTTAAAATTTGAACAAACAAACCTCCTAAGTTACAGGGAAAAAATAGTTTAAAAATCTTTAATAAAGACGAAATATTCTCGAATAATTTCAGCATGGAATTTAAGGAAATAAATATACATCTCAATGGGTAGTTATTACCCCCCCCCCCAAAAAAAAGGGAATGTTTCCAAGTAAACTAGTGTTTTAATTCCAAGTTCCAACAATCTCAAAAGTAATTTCCAAATAAACCAATGGCATCACAAATTGGCGGAGAATTTTGAAAATCTCTAAAACTTACCCAAGGAAAGTTAATATAAATGAAATAAAAGGGTCTACTACTTGTGCCCAACACTAATGTAATGAACCTGAGAAAACGAGGACTATCACCTTGAATAGGACTATAAATGAAATATAAGGCTCTTGCAATCACCAAGGATATGATAAAGTACCAAGTCACAAACTATTTTGTTGAGTGCATTAGAAACTACCGACAAAGTTATATTTAAAAAATATATATATATATATATAAACAATCAAAGACATTGGTATATGAGAAAAGACAATTTTTTTAAATAAAAAATATAATTCCACTGTTAAATTAGTAGTTCAGGCTCTCCTGATAATAAACATAAATTAGCAACTTTAGTTATCTACGTTGCCAGTGAGACATTTTAATCAGGATGCTAGAACAGAAAGTGTAATCCAACAGGGAAAACAAAAAAATTTCATATTGTTACTGATAAGTTTCAATGACAAACTGAAAACCCCATGACAATATTCAGCCTTATGTAAGGCAAACTAATTTCTAAATTCTCAAATGACTGCGTCCAAAATTATACAACACATTAACACTTGCAATAAAATAATTACACATTCTTATTTCATTATTAATTCTCCGTTAATTAGCACAAAAAAGAAGTATCCTTGTTAAAGAAAATTGGTCATAAACTTTTTAACATAGACAAAATGGCCATTAATTACAAATCACTGTCATTTTCTCTATACATCTCTTTGTTCTTTCTTACCAGTTTTGTTTGCTGCATTTCAGTTCATTTATTCGACTGATTTCTTATGCAACTCTTACTTGAAAAATCATCATTTAGCACCTAGCCAAACTATTGGTAGGAGTTGGAAATTTTCTTGGTTAATATATTTTTCAAAACCTTAGTTGAATTTCATACAGAGAGATGGTCATTTATTAGAACTTTCTCATATATCATTTGCATCTTGATTCCTCTATAATTTCAAGTTCATCAGGGCAGTTAAAACAAGGAATTCTTGGTGCAATTTAGATGGAAATGTTTTTTGATTAATTTGAATCAAACATGATATAAAAATGAGAAAATATATATCATAAATAAATCAGCAGAAGATCAAAACAGAGCACAATTCAAATAAAGCAACCAAAATTTCATATAAACCTAGGTAACCTTTGAAAAGAATTTCTGCGCGTGGCTCCTGATTTGCACGGCAGTCTTTGTTCCTATATGCTCTGCATGTCAAAAGGTAAAACATCACAAATGATCGCTGGGTTTACTGTTAATAAAATAAATAGAGACGTCCAAATCATCTTCTCATAAAAGAATTCAGAGTAATGAATCTGCAGAGCACTTTTACTGTGTACTTCTAAACTTTTTCTGCATATGAAGAAATGAACAGAAGGGAAGACCTGTTTCAGAAACGAGAAAACGATTACCTTCAATACGCTGCCATGCTCTCCCATAAAGCTTTAAGGCTTCTAGAAACCTATTATGCTCCTCCTCAGTCCATCTTTCTCTTTGCTTTGTGATTGTATAAGGTTTTCTTGTCTGTAATTGCCAGTTATCTACTTAGAAAATACTCAGCTTTACTATTTCCCTTGTTTGTAGTCTTATCAACAAAACATAGCAGCAAGAAAAGAAATAAAAACTTAATCTATCATAATAACCTTACCATAGCAGCAAGTAAACAGTTTTCTTGTCTATGATTGCCAGGTTTCTACTTAAAAAACATTCAGCTTGGCTAATTCCCTTCTTTGTCTTTTATGTGAACAAAAGATGGGAGCACGAAAATAAACACAACCTTAATTCTTCATAATACATTATTAACTTTACCTTTTCTCGGCCAGATATTAACCTTACCTTAACAACCACTTCTTCTCCTGAGGAGTATGCGTCCATTATAGGACCTCTGCAGCAAGCGCTGCTTTAGATCTTCCCTGACGAGCAGTGGATAAAAGGAAGACCTCCTTTCATGTTTGGCAACATGAAACACACTGAATCGTAAAGCCGTGGTGATTGGAAGCAGAATCTGATATAGTGGTGCTACTGCAAAAAAGAAAAAAAGGTAGAAAAAATGGCAGAGATCCGTCTCTGTTTGGTATCAGCACTGATAAGCACTCCAATTCACAAGCAGCGAGGCTATAGTTATGTCATACATATTATCCATAACAATCCAGAAACCAAGGGAAAAAAAAACTTAAAATTTCAAGAATCCACCGCAACAGAGACGCTTCTCCAAAACAATAAAACAAAGTTGCTTGATCAGAATCCTCACCAAAACAACGAACCCATACGTGCCAACACCTTACAATCACGTGAACAAGCAAAAAAGAGATGGGAATATAATCAGTACATTAAACAACCATTCGCATCTTCAAATAAATATAAGTTGTGAAAATCAAACACATAATCTAATCAAGAGTCGAGCTAACTTGAATGCGTGATATGTTAAAATCGAAAGTATCAGACAGCAGAGTAAAACATATAATTAGTATCATAAACGTCCATAATTTAAAATCAATAAGAGCCAGTAAAATCAAATACAATATCAAATGAAGAGAAGTGTTAAGTGATATGTTGGCAACGAAGGTATCATACCGTGAAGTAAAACATACATTTCGCTGTTCATTTTTCTTCAATTTCTAGGGAACTGGACAGTAAGTACGCAAAAAAGTTAAGTACCTCGGCATAAAACCATGGCGGTGATGAAGAACAAGAATATTGGGGGTGCGATCATGCATGTAAAAACAACAAATTCACCGGACGCTCCCCTGAGAACTCATTTTCGGCAATGGGAAGAATTCGAATCTGAGGAACTTTGAGATAAGAGAACATAAGGAAACTGAAAAAGTGCAGAACGAAACAGAAGCAGAAGCAGCAATAGTTTATTAATCTTTTCCTCTGTAAGAGGCCCCTCCACTACAATTTACCGGAAACTACGACGCCAAACAGTTCGGAGACTGAGAAGCAATCTCAGCCACTAATAATTTCTTGTGTTCGGTATTTTATTTTATTTTTTGTAAAAATTAGGAGTCGTTTTTATTTGAGGCTCGCAAGGGGGGAAGGGCAAAGTCGTCAAACCATTTCTCTTTGAATCACGCCACGTGGAAGGAAATTAGTGGCGGATGTTGCACGTACCCCAGCTTGCGCTTTTCCTGAATATTTTTTGCTTTCTTTTTCAGAATTTGGTCTTCAGGCTCAAATGTCATCCACAAGCTCTCAGTGAGTACGTAAAAGCGATGCCAGCGTGCGGGTCCCAGAGATTACGTGGCATGAGCAACCGCTTGCTCCGGTTAGAGGAGTGCAGACACATGCTTTGTAGTGGTGAGATTTTCAGCCAACGTGGCGTTTCGCTTTTAAGAGACCGGTACGTGGCGTTTGATCGCACTAACTGCCTAACTGTTTGGCACTGTGATCCTTATTGGAGACACGTGGGAAGTGTGGGTACGATCTTGATACTCGTAAAGTTTGTCCTTTTTTTTTTAATGGTTCATAATCAATGTGAACCTGCAATGTCGCCTGAATTATGTCCGGTGACAACTTGTTTAGGTACGCATAAAAATACGAAATCTTATTTTAAAAAAACTTAATAAAATCACAACATTAATAATTAAAGGAAAATTGTCAAGAAATTCTTCTTGGTAGGGAAATTGTTTTGAAGAATCAAGGTCAATTTAAGTAAGAATTAAAAGTATACCAAGTTTAATTATCGCCTCTCATACCAAATCTATAATCTTGTACGTAAGTCTATCACTTTGCATTCTAAATCTATAACTTTGCACACCAAGTCTATTATTACCTTGCATACCACAGAGGTGCAAATCTCATGAAAATACAATATATTATCTTAAAGTGATGGTTTTTATGAAAGTAATAATATGAATAATAAATTCTTCAAATTAGAAGCATGTAAATTATATAAACTTTTTGAAGACTAACATATAACTTTATTAGGGCTTGTGTGTAAAGTTATAAGTTTGGTGTGCAAGGTAATGAGTTTGGGAGGCAAGGTGATAAGTTTGAGATGCAAGATAAAAGGCTTAGTGTACAAGGTCATAAGCTTGAAGTACAAGATGATAGATTTGGAATGCAGAGCCATGGATTTGGTGTATAAGGTGTAATTTAATTAGAATGCAAGGTGATAGATTTGGAATGTAAAGTAATATGTTTGGCATACAAGATGGTAGACCTGGTATGCATTTGGTCTTTTAAATTTGTCTTAGTCCCTCTAAATAATTTTCCTCCCATAAAGGGATTTTATGGCAATTTTTCCTAATAATTAAGAATTTTAAAATTATATTTTGTTTTAAGAACATAAAGATAAAAATAAAAAATAATTAATATATTTTTACAAATATAAGTCATATAACTGAAAGGAAATGGTGTTTGAAATAACTCTAAATTATACTTAATAAGCACTATAAAAAATGTATCTATAGTAGCAATTAGTAGTTGGCTACTATTAGCCAATAGCCTCATAACCTAGTGATATGTAAGGTTATCATTAAGTGAAAGGTTACAAGTCTAATTTCACATGTAATTTCAGGTTTTTAGTGATTGTCCCTCCATTAAAAAAAAAATAGTTGGCTAATATTTTAACGATTATTATGTGCGAGAGCGGTTTCACAAAATATTACTAAAATTGTCACAGCAAGATATCTAGTAGTGATTTTAATTGTTGCAAGAATCTTAGTGATTTAAAACTGTTACAATTGAAATGCAAAGTTTCAATTCTGAATTTGAATATTTTTGCATCAACTTTTGTAACTGTTTTACAGTTTAAACCACTACTAAAGTTCTACCCCAAAAAAAAAAAACTACTAAAGTTGAAGATTTTAATTTTTTTTTTTGGCGCTATGTATGATACCATATTTGAGAATTTGAAGTTTTTGACATCTTCTTTTGCAGCAGTGTTGAACCATTATAAAAACTGAAATTTGAAAAAATTTCACCAAGCTTGGGGTTGCCCTCGTCAGAGTGTGGTATTTGCCTAAACACATTTGAAAAGTGTCACGGGAAAACATTTTTGATAATTTAATTCAACTATATTATCAAGCTTTCTATAATAAGAGACGCTTGGAAAATGCATATTGTCGTCACAACTACTTACATAACTCTCACGTTCCAAATACACCAAAGTTGTGGGTTTGCAATCTATGACCACGTGAAAGCGTAAAAAATTTGAACTCACTGGCATTGCATGTAGTAAACTTTCTCACGCTATTTTTTTTTATTAGCACTACTTTTATATTTATATATAAGCTTTCTTATTATTCGTGGTTGAACAATAAATACCAAGCATATCAAAGATGTTGGATCTTAATAGATAATGAAAAGAGTTTCAAACTCCCTCATTACAGTTCATTCGGATATAAAAAGATACAAGACTTTAGTAGAATAAGTGTATGATTTTTATTGAAATTTAAAAAGATTATAGACTAAAAACTGAAAAACTGAAAGGGGCTAATGAATGTAAAATTTGCGAGTCTTTGATGGAGTGTTAACTAGTTTTTTCTGTATTTTCTCCTTTTATTTATAGGGTTAGAATAGTGGAAGTTTTTTCCTTGAAACTTAACACGTTCTGTTGAAAAATCAGGGATCTCGCAAAATTTATGGCACAATCTCTTCATTTTGATAACCAGCCCGCTTCATCAAGCTACTTTGACGTAGATTTCGGCATTACTTAAAATCGTGTTTTCGTGCCAATGATCTAATATTTGCAGCTCATGGAATTTCGGTATGTTTCCTTTTTGTGGCTTTTATTGAGCTTTGGAACTGACCCCTTTCATTGATATTGGGCCTGACGCTTCAATTATTCAGCCCAACTAACCTTGTGACCTATTTGAGCAATATTTCATATTTAGCTCAAATACTTATATTATAAGGGAGCGTTTTTAAATCAAATGAATATGAAACACTTTGTGAATTATCGTGGTAGAAGCTAAGTGGCACATATAAGAATATATATTGACAAGAACATACAAAGTATTGCCACTTTTTATTGCCACTTCACAGCACTTCTAAACTCCCTGTAACTATATATATATATATATATATTGATAAGAAGATTTGGAAACATTTTTTGAATTTGTTAATGTAATGTGAGCAATGCTTATCAGATGAAGAGATAGATTTGAAAATATATGCGCGCGCGCATGTGAACCTACAGCATTTCCTTCAATGTAAGTTGTAGTTCCCGAGCCTTGCAATTGCTTTTACAAGGGGAAAGCAAGTTTGCTGTAGAAGGACCAACTTCATCATTAAGACAATTATCACCAACGTGTTACGGTCACCCGCACTTCGAGGTTAATATCGGATGATAATAATAACAGAGTTTAACAAGTAATTCCCTCAGTAACAGTATTATTCAATCATCATCTAAGGTTCAGCACTCCTACACAACAAGGGAAAATGGCAGAAGGCGATTACAAGGCATTACAGAGGTGAATATTGCAGAACAACAAACGAAACCTAGAGAGAAAAGACTCAGAAGAAAAGAAAACATACAGAGGGAGATTCAGAACATATTTATCCATACCCTCTCAAGGAGACCCAAGCCTCATATATCCTCATTCACATGCAGCTTCCAGCTCTTGGTGCGCACTCCATTGGCACGCCTCACAGCCTGAATCCTTTCATCCTCTTCGCACACTACCTGTTCCGAACCAATCATTGTGGAATTATCCGTACAGTTGGTATTTGTCCCAAATGCCCTTGTGTGCATATTGTCATCAGACTGTAAAATAACCCGCTTTCCTTTGGCCATGACACAACGCATGTTGGAAGATTTGAAGTTGTCTCAATACCATGAGAATATATTAATTATACGTTTAGATTAATAAAAATTTGAATTTGATCCAAACTCCTCGTTTAAATATATAAAAATTTATGAATCTGAATTTGATTTAAATTTAAATCTATTTTTTAATACAATTGTTTTTGTAATTTTAAATTTTCTCTACCTTCTGGTTATTTAAAATTATAATCACTTCAAATATCTCTTTTTTTTATTTTTACTATTAATGCTTCTATGATTCTTATATCTTTTCTCACATTTCATTCTCATTTCTTGTCAGTTAAAAAATAAAACTAAACTAATTATTTTTAATTTTTTATTTTCATTTCAAATCTCACTCATCTATCTTTTTCACTAGAAATTTTTTAAACTACTCAAACAAATTCAAATCTATAATTGAAATGCTACCTCAAAAAAAATTAAAATCCTCGTCTCTCAAGTGCCTTCTATGATTGAACCATTGTCCAAGCCCAATTTTTTTTACATATAATTTTAATTTTTCTGGAAATTTATAAATAAAATTTTAAAATATGTAAATATAAGCACCTGAATAAAAACGAACAAGAAATAAATAGAGAAGATAACAATTATAGACCATGTTAAGACATTAATGACAATTGAAGACATCAAATTATTGAAATATTATAAAAAAATTATCATGGTATTTATTTACAATTAAAAAATAAATATTTATTAAAATAACAAATGGAATATGACTCATGATCATTTAAGTAATGTTATTTGTAAATCAGTAAAAATTTGATTGTGAATGGAAAAATAGTTTTATGAATGTATACATCATCATTTATGAGTTTAAGAATAATCAGTTGTGAATTTATGAAAACTTAATTATGAATAAACAGTTTCATCCATTTATATATTATTTGTAATCTAAGGACAATCAATTGAGAATTTAAAGAATATTGCTTGTGAATATATATGGAACATCAATTGTAGATAGATATAAATAATCTTAATTATAAATCAATGATTTTGGGATCATATCATGTTTTTTAACGTCCATTCACAATTGAATATACATAATAAATTTACAAATAATTTTCTTAAAATTCACAAATGACTATCCTAAAATTCATGAATGACAATATATGTATTTATGAAACTATTTATTTATTTAAAATTAATTTTTCATATATTCACAATTGATCTTCTTTAAATTCATGAGTCATCTTCTATTAGTTATTTTAATAATTAGCAGTATTTTAATCGCAAATACTATAATCTTTTTTTAGTGTTTTAATATTTTAATATTTTCAATTGTCATTAATGTCTTTATAAAATTCATAATTATCTATGTTCACCTCTCAATATTGAATAAGGCCACTGATCTTCGCTTATTCAAAAAGGTGTACAATAAAATGAACCATGATAAGAAGAAGAAGAAGAAGAAGAAAAAGAATATATCATTTCAAGATGATGAAGAGTAACAATAATTTTGTTCAGCAACTTACCTAACTCATCAAAGGTCAACATCTCTACGCACAACTTAAAAAGTGAACATAGCTCGACCAAATTATAATACTTTGTTGCAGTAGCAAGTTAAGGCGTTGCAACTTAATAGCAGTTTAGGATAAAATCACTGCAAAAGCAATACTTTGTAGTAACAACTGCTCTATAGATTAGGAATCTCGTGTGAAGAATTGAGTCATCACTTTTAATCACATTTTTAAAGAAATTAATAATTATGTTAATTAGCTTACTCACCAATTGCATCAAAACTATTTTGGCATTAGGATCCTAAATGAATCATTGT